TAATGTCTGGATAATGTGTCGTCAGTCGTCCTGTTTCGAACTCAACACGATGAATGAGTTGTCTTTGTTATTAGTTCGTTCTTCATGAAGTAATGCCGTAGAATCCATCTGGTTTTCAAATCATAAAATTTCTGCATTGCCACGATGTCGCGCTTTCAGAATGGAACGGTGATTGTTCTGACGAAGCGTCATTCAACGACTTGACCGGTCGCAGTATTGCAGTTGCAAGTCGAACAGGGGGGGGGGGGGGGGGGGGGATGTCACAGAAGCTACACCTACAAAGTCGCTGCTAACTTGTTGAAAACTCTGAAGTGCTCGAGAAAAACCCTTGCCATTGCGCTTTGCGTGATTTGGAAATGATGGCTTGAAACACCGTCAGAAGTGTATTTGGTTCCTGCAATAGTCTGTTCTTCGCTACCTCACCTGTTTATTCCGAAGCAACTCCCGTTTGGATTTTCGAAATTTAACAACCAACATCATAAAATCACTAGGAGCTAGCTCGTAACTAGTGCCCAAAAACATTTTGAAACCCAGAAAATGGACATAGTTTACCGTAGCAAAGCATTCCTCGCGCTACGGTGTGAGATGCACTTTCGTACAGTAGGGGTGAAAGTGCATGGGGTCAGTGCATATAGGCCAGCAGATCTTGCAAAAATGGGGTGGGCGTTTGCAGCGGACTTTACGGTATATGCCATGGCAAATGCCACGTCGCACGTTGCCGACACGGTAAATGTCACGTTCAATGGCACGGAGAGTGTCACGTCACCTAGAGTACCACGCGTGCATGCACAATGCTGTTTGGCCGACTTCGTCACTGTGAAGTGCAGTGCACACGACCGTAGACAGAAGGAAAGCATGAGTATACAGCAACAGCAAACATAGCAGCATAGTTTGAGCGGTAGCACGAAGCTGCGTGCACCCATTAATCTGCCTAATTATCACCATACTGATACACACACCATTGGACCATTGGACGCCCATCGCCAGAGGCGATGATAGCGATGCTACAGCAGAAGCCATAGCAGCTTGTGCTGGGATGGTACCATTCAACAGCTTGCAAGGCTGAAGAATTGACCACCACTATTCAGCCTGGTCTACACCACACAGGTATGAAGTGGCTTTTCTGGCCAGTGAATCACTACTTTTTTTTCACGCATACACATCACACCATATACTCCGGCATGCACTGGCTGTTGGTAACCACCCAGGAGAATGAAAGAAAAGTCAGGAGGAGTCTGAGAAAGAGAAGAAAGACGTGTGTGACCATAATCGTCCGGAATCGAACCCGCAACCTATCGATTGGAAATCGCTGCACATACCACTGCACCATATGGGACACACACACACACACACACACACACACACACACACACACTTGTACTTGTGCTTGTTGCTCACTGCCAAAACTGGTCACGTGGGTCTCCCCGGGAGAGGGAAGAGAGACTCAAAAGGAATCTTGGAAAGATGACTCAATTGGCTATTGAACCGCCCAACAGCCGACACCCCCTCAAATCCCCAAAACTCTGGGTGGACTTGAAAATGATCCCACTTATGGGCTCACCACACCTCAGTAAGTGGGTAAGGACAAGGTGCAGAAAAAGGATTGACGGCATCAGAGTATACGTCCTGGGATCCAACTGCAGTTACCCCTGACCCCAGTGAAGGTAATACTTGCTACTAGTGTGGGTGACTAAATCAGAGTGGATCTGATATAAGCTTCACTAGCACCATTGATTACCGAACTAGCTGACACACATACACACAGACCCGCGCGCTCGCGCGCCCACGCACCTGCAGACCCAAATTTGCATTGTGGCTTACCTCTGGTCTAGAAGGACTCTATCTGCGAGAGGAGATGTTCTCTTTGAAAGCACTGATCGAAGTATGTCAGTTAGACTATGAGATGAGCCAACCGTACACCAAGTCTAAAGAAAAGCAGCAGATGTATAACACAGAAACACACACACATACATACAAACCCGCAATCTATCGATTGGAAATCGCTGCACAAACCCCTGCACCATATGGCACACACACACACAAACACACACACAAACACACATACACATACACATAACACACACACACACACACACACACACACACCATTTTACCATTTGACGCCCATCGCCGGAGGCGATGATAGCGAATGCTACAGCAGAAGCCATAGCAGCTTGTGCTGGGATTGCACCATTCAACTGCTTGCAAGGCTGAAGAATTGACCGCCACTATTCAGCCTGGTCTACACCGCACAGTTATGAAGTGGCTTTTTCTGGCCAGTGAATCCCTACTTTCGGGTCTTTATCTTTTTGCTTTTTTTTCACACACACACATCACACCACATACTCCGGCATGCACTGGCTGTTGGTAACCACCTAGGAGAATGAAAGAAAAGTCAGGAATAGTCTAAGAAACAGAAGAATGATGTGTGTGACCATAATTGTCGGGAATTGAACCCGCAACCTATCGATTGGAAATCGCTGCACATACCACTGCACCATATGGGACACACACAAACACACACACACACACACACACACACAACGCATGACTGCATGCACACAAACATGTACGCGCACACGCACGCACACACACACACACACACACACACACACACACACACACACACACACACACACACACATATAAACTACAACAAAATGCGACTTGAGCTACGAGGGAGTGCTGGCCAGCGGAGTGAGAGGCTACATAGAGAGAGATTCAGGGTCGGCAGGGTGGACACTGCCGGAGAAGAATCCACGAGAGACTTGTCAACTGCCGGAGCAGGATCTTGGCAAAGCCAAGAGAGTCTGAGACTTGTCGACCGCCGGAGCAGGATCTTGGCGGAGCCAAGAGAGTCTAGAAATGTCAGCAGGACGATGATCCATAGCCCTGAGTATCCGGAAATGAGCGTGGCCAACACCCCTTAGCGCTTGCACCCGAATGCATAAGAACAGTGTATAGGAAATGGGAGAGCCAAGTGACTACATGCAATGGAAAGTCACAGAGCAAAGCTGCATGCATACCCACGTATTCTCACAACACCGCACAAGGATGATTGGGGTACACCAGTGTGCTGGTTTCGATCAACTGGTGAAGCGATTGGCGTTGCAAACAGCCAAAGTGATCGCTCACGACTGAGCCGCAGCAGTACCCCCGACCGGGTGCAAAGTTCCCTGATCGACGTTGCAAACAGCCAACCAGGGTGAAGCAGTTGGCGTTGCAAACGGCCAAAGCAATCGCTCATGCTTGAGCGGCAATAGTACCCACGACCGGGTGCAATGACTACTGATTGGCGTCGCAAACAGCTGACCAATAGTATGCAATTTTAAGCAGAGATAGTAGCAGCAAAGCAACCAGTTGAAGGAAGCTGTTCCCAGAAAACCAGCACACGGCACCCCAGCAAGCGTTCACCACCAATGCACGAGAGCTCAGAACAAGTGAATTAAGGCACGAGATGGATAAAGGTAGGCATGCAGATGGATGAAATCCAACGCAGGTTCTCAATACGACAATTTAGCAATGACAATCGGTACCTGTATGTCAAGGCTATATTGCATCGACTGGAATGGCAGCACTGCTTGGTCTGGTTGTGCTTGAGCAGCTGGGGCGAGACGAGGAAATTCCTCCATGCGGAAACGAGACAGCGAATCGGCAATGCAGTTAGACTGGCCAGCAATGTGAGCAGCAGCGACGGTGAAATTGAAGCGAGCGCACACAAAGAACAGCTCCCTGATCAGGGTCATCACTGGCGGTGACTTGGATGTGCCGGAGCGGATGCAATCTACCACAGCCTTGTTGTCACAGTGCATTGTGATACGAAGCTGGCGCCATTCCTTGCCCCACGTGCAGCACGCTGTGACCAACGCGTAGAGCTCCTTCCACTCAATGCTGTGAGCGAGTTGCTCAGGCGACCAGGTCCCTTGAAGCCAGCGGCCGCTGTTGAATGCGCCCCAGCCCAGGGTGCCACTGGCATCAGTGAACAGCTCCAAGTCTGGAGATGGTGTCCAATCTGGGAACAGGAAGAATGATTTTCCGTTCCATTCTTCCAGGAGCCTTAGCCACCATTGGATATCTTCCTGGCACTCGGTAGTCAGACTGATGCGGTAGTGAGGCTGCTGGTAGCGACTGCAAATAGACCACAGGCGCCGCATAAATGTCCGACCGGGTACGACGACTCTTGCAGCGAAGGAGAGTTTCCCCAGAAGAGATTCGAGTTCGAGGGAGACATGGTAGGGTTGATGCTCGCAGCAGTCAACAGGCGCTTGATGTCAGCCAATTTGTCGTCAGGGAGCCGGGCTTCCATCTTCTCACAATCCAGGATAATGCCCAGGAATGTCAGGGTACGAGACGGGCCTTCCACCTTCGCAGGCGCGAGCGGGACTCCGAGGTATGAGAATGCACGGAGAAGAATGGCCAGCTGCCGATTCGCCACTGCCTGGCCCACGCTCACGCACAAGTAGTCGTCCAGGAAATGCAGCAATTTAGGGATGGAGAATTCGTGGTGCATTATCCATTCGATGGTGGCTGCCACTGCATCAAATACCGCTGGGCTAGAGCGAAGCCCAAATGGCAAGACACGGTCGTAGTAGTACTTACCCTGCCACAGGATGCCTAGGAGATGCCAATCCTGTGGGCGGACAGGTATTTGACGAAAAGCGCTCTTCACATCGAGTTTAGAGAGATAGACAGGAGACGGGGAGGACATAATGATGCTAATGGCTTCATCAATGCTGATGTACTGCAAAGAGAAAGGTTCGGCAGGGATCCCGTCGTCAACGCTGGAGCCGGCAGGGCTGGACAGGTGGTGTATCAAGCGTAGCTTGCCAATCTTTTTCGGAACGGCGCCAATGCCAGAGCAGTACATAAATGAGAATGGGGGCGAGTCAAATGGGCCAGCCGTGTAGCCGGCGTTGCAGGAAGCGGTGAGCTGTGCAGACACAAATGCAGAGTGCTGGAATGCTGATGAGAGGTTGGACTAGTGTTGGTTAGTTATGCGGTTGCCGGTAAAGCCAATGTCAAAGCCGCAGCGGAGGCCGTTAATAACATACGAAGCCAATGAACTGTCAGGGTGGTTACGAAGCAGTGATTCGAAGCGAGAAACAGAGAGGGCGTGTGGACAGCAGGACATGCGCTTGTGAAATCAGTAGAACGTGAAGTGCAGGGAGAAATATGTACAATCGCGGGAGCTGCAGCCAAAGCAGCACAGTTACTGGCGCCTACCGCACTTAGATCCGTTGTGGTCCTTGGACCCGCAGCGGGTGCAGACATGGGCGTACTTGCACGTGCTGAGACTGCAACGCCCAGCGTTGAAGTTCCGGCAGATCGGTTGGCCATTAGACACCGTACGGACCCCATTGAAGGCTTGCTGGTTGTTACGTTGCGGACGAAAGGGACACTGGCCGCCTCCGGGATGGACGAGGCGGCAGGACTCACATGTGGGCCTTGATTGGCTAGTCACGGACATTTGCCACAGATTGATGTCGATGACGTCAAAGCGCTTGCCTGGCTGAGCAGAAATGGCAGAGCGAAACTGGGTGTCGTACGACAGCCAAGCCTCCGGATAGTATTGCCTGTTGGCTGCAACAATGGTGGCTTGGTATGAGAGCATCTCCTGCAGGCGGGTTGGCAGAACACACGATGTTCATGAAGAGAGTCCATGCCTCCAGCCATGTCGGCAAGTCGTGGACGCGTCGACGAACGGGCTGGGCAGCTCCACCTTCCACCACCTGTATACCAAAACATAAATACGCACCATAGCAGCAGCACCAGCAGCAGCAGCAGCAGCAGCGGGGAAAGAGACACCTACAATACGGAGGATTAGCAAGACGAAATTCGCATTCGTGTTCACGAACATTTTTCGGTTCGCAAACTGGATTGCAAACTTTCGCATTTTTCGTTTGGAAAAGTAGTCGAAACACAAATCGCGGATTCGTGTCAGGACAGTCATCAATTTACAATGCCGTACTGTCTGTGAGCAATGTACGACGTGTCAACGTCATGCATGTGTGAATTCTGTTTGCTAATCCTTCTCAATGCAAAATTCCATTACTGAGTTCGACTTTGCTTGGAGTGCGAACACGAACGCGGATTCCGTCTTGCTAATTCTCCGTAGTGTCATGATGTCATGATAGAAGAACAGTTACAGCCTGGTACATGTAGATAGAAAGCTTTTCCAGTTCTCAACGCTAGTGCTCAAAGGAATACACCGAGTACTCGAGTACACGCTCGCTGAGTACTTGACTTGAATTCAAAAGGGGCTCGATACTCGATAGCATACACGTATAGTAGAGGAATGTATGCTGTCATGACTTTTTTGTGCAGCACAAACTGACAAAGTCTATTTATGTAGTTCCTCTCGACGAAGTCAGAGCCAGGCGCGTACGCAGGGGGGGTTCCCGTTGCCCGTAAACCCCCCCCCAAATGTTCCAAACGAGCAACGTTTTTGGGCATTTATTGGTAGGGCGCATGATCGATCTGGCAAGAATGCAAAACTTCAAAAGATCGTAACTCAGTCAAATCTCGCTCAAATCCAACGATCCAAATATCCAGGTCGAATAGAAAACTCTCAGCTGTCGGTTGAAACAATTTGTGAAGCGCTGCGAGCAATGTATCGTGAGATAAATCATTCGTAAATTGAGCCGCGATCTTGGCAATTTCAAAAGCGCGCAGTGCGACTTGAGTATCGAGAATTTGAGATTTTCGTCGCGCTGATTTGCTCAAATTTGCAGGGGCTTCCCTTGTGATATTTTCAAGAGTACACAGGAAAAAGTCGAAACTCTGCGATCAAGAAAAACGAAATCGCTGGAGCAGGACGCGTTTGGGCCTGTTTGGGGCATTTTTCGCACCGTCGCTGCACTCTACCGCTATAGCCTATAGCGCTGGATATGTATATGACTGTACTGTGTCCTGGCTATGATGGTCGACCTCATTCTCTCCCTGATACCTTTCCACTTCCAGGAAGCCCAAGATACTGAAGATTCAGTGAGTAGAACTGAAGTTATGATCCAAACAACACGAAAAAATGCATAATTTTGAAAATTTCCTGCGGCTCTTTAGGAAGGGTTAAAACTAACACCCTTACACACACTTTGTTACTCGTTGTTTGGGATTCGGTTGGAAACCCCCCTAGAGGTGACCCTGCGTACGCGCCTGAGAGCTGTGCCTCTATTACTGGAAGTGTTTAGCTATGTAGATGCAAGTGAAAGAGAGAAAAATCAGTCCCAGAGATGTCACTGACTTTGGGCGAAACTTGACCTACCCTGTACAATGAACATGTGTGCTCAATTTGAAGCTAAAGTTGGCGTGCTGGGAATGTGCACATTAGAGCGACTAGGTTGTGTTATAGGGTACTCAACTCGATAGTGGCACTACTCGTTCGATAGCATAGAGTGCTCGTTTGAGCACTACTCAAAACCTTGGCAATGTACATTTAGATACTTGGTCAGCGTCAGCAATATTGTCGCTTATCTTTCGACAATTTGAAATAAGACTTTGGACAACAACGTGTGCACTTGAGGTGATAAAACGTGGTACGATAGAAGGTAAGGTATAGAATGACAACTAGCCATGAGGAATGTATTGTCCAAGGAAGTGTTCATACTTTTGTTGGTCCTCCTCCTCGCTGCTCTCGGCTCTGGATTGCTCTCTCGCTTTTGCAAGCTCATCTCTATTCCTCTCCGCTGCCTGGCTACTTTCTAAAGGGAAGTCGATCGTGACGGTTGCCTTCTCTATATGACTTCGCGTGGGCAACACGACTACCTGTGTGGTTCAAATCAGTCGCCGTTCTTTGCAAGATTTTATATTGAACGACGACGACGCGTACAGTACTGAGTAAATCTCCACGGGCGCTGGATACCCCGAGCGTTGAGCTGGAGGTGAGGGAACTACGATCTCAGCTTGTCGAGCGATCCCCGAGGTGAGCCTTCTCAGCCGTTTTGCAAAATGGAACTGATTTCGAGTATAGTAGCCGATTACTTTATTGTGCGTCGCGCTGCTCTTACCTGTGCAGTGTGACAAGAAAATATATTTTATGCGGCGTGGTATCAATCAGAATCACCCACCCGTCGCTCTCGAAATCAACTCCAAATCTAGCTAGACCTTTCAGGTACTAGTAAACTAACTTACTAACCATTAATGGGATGAAATGGGCTGCCAAGTGAGCATCCCCGACATATACACCAAGCTGAAAGATAAGCGACAATAATATTGATGACGCGGACCAAGTAGAATCTTTCTCACTACTCAAAACCTTGGGGGTGTACACGTACTCTGGAGCTGGACGCCAGATGGGACGCAAGGCAAAGAAGGACGCATACATCACGCTGAAGGTTCCTAAGGACGCCTTTCCCAGTCCCTACCATGCCGGCTCATTAATCCCTCAAAGAGTGAGATTGGCATAGTCTCCAAGTCCATACTCGATACCGCTCTAAAACAGCTCCGCCCCCAGCTGCAGATCAATGCATGGAGGAACACGGCAGTGGTGATAGAGTGGTTCACAAGTACAGTCAACTTGGCTAATAACGACTGCGGATATAACGACAATTCGCGAATAACGACAGAATTTCCATGCCCAGAGCAAAGTCCCATCTAACTGTATACATTTAATTTCGGATACAACGACTATCTGAATAACGACAATTCGTGAATAACAACAAGCTTTTAGTGCCCCGAGGTCATATCCACTGCTTGAATAACGACTTTCTGGGCTTTTGACAGCTACTTCAAGTACCTGTCATGCAGAAGTACCAGAACCCATGGCGATGGATAAAGGTACACATGCAAGAAGATGCAGCCAAGGGGGGTGGGGGGTGCTTTTATTATTGTTACTTTTTGCTTCTACATGTAAATACATGCAGTTGTAGTGATCGGCACAGCTACATATACATGTAGTTGTATGGTGTACATGATTGTACAGTAATCATCATAATTATAATTATGTACAGTACATGTCCCTGTATATGTACAGCACATGTCCCTGTATATGTACATGTAGATGGCTCCAAAGGCCAACTTTTCAATCTATTTCCCTTCCATATTGACTTTATAGTTCCTTTCAATTGTAATATGAAAATAAAGTACACTTTGACATAGACCATGAAAAGAGATTCGTTTTGATATGCATATCATACTATACAACAATATGGGTTCACATACATTCAAATGGGACTTCGGGTATAAGGACACTTTTCGGATGCCCCGCCGAATGTCGTTATTCGCAAAGTTGACTGTACACCAGAAAAAGAAAAGTACATATTTGTGTGCTTTGACTGTGTTGATTTCTACCCCTTAATCGATTATACCGGATACTCGAAATAGATTTCGTTACAAGCTAACAAATTGATTATTGGAAACGTTTCGATTACTCAATTGTGCATACAGTATACATGATTATACACGTATGATTGTAGATAGACCAATGTGCGAGGAAAAATTCTCTTCTCCCCAGGATCTATTTTAAAATTCTAAATTTGTAAGTTAATTTTCGCATTTTCAGCTTCTAATATGGCTTTTGTCTGTACGAGAAGAAACAATCGAAAAATTAACCAATAACCGATCGATAGTGGTTCAGGTTATTCCGAACTTATTCGATAGTCAAAAAGCGTAATCATTTCACCCCTACTGTTTTCTGATGATCGCTTAGTGCGTGAAACTCGGAGTAAAACACTTTTTCATCCTCCTAATATTGTTGTAGTGTAAACGTAGATAGAGATCAGTACCAGTGCTTTCAACTTGCTGGGATCATCGGGTACACTGACACTAAACCCAACCTAAATCATGCATTTTGAAGTGGTGTGAGCCAGGAAAATTCATGCTGACATGTACCAGCGGTGCTGATGGCGACAGCAGAAGCAGTTTAATGTAAGGGTCACTGACCTTGGGCCGTCCTTGCTGTCTCGTCCGGAAATCCTTAGTCACCTGAGAACACACGGGAGAATGAAGAAGGCGGCGTATGGTGCAAGAGTAAACCAGGTGGAGAGAGCATCATTCACCCCACTGGTGTTTTCGGCCTCGGGTGTGGCGGGCAAGGAAGCCACTATATTTCTGAAGTCGCTAGCTGCTTTGGTTGTAGACAAAAACAAAGACTTGGTATATTCTGCCGTGATGGGTGAGTTACGCACCCGGGTTTCGTTTTGCCTGCTGCGATGGGCAGTCACGTGCTTTAGAGGGTGCAGGGCCTCTTACTAGGGAGTTCAGTCACGTGACAAATCAGCTGAAAACAGCCTTCACGCGGGTCACGTACATTAGCATGGTAGCGGTGGCACCATGGACTGCGCTGCAGTTTTTTTCGAATTACTTTGTCCTGCTTTCTTTTTCAAAGCTGAAAGTTGGTGCGTTTGATAGCTGAGGTCTTCCTGCTCGTTTTGGTGCTGCACTTGCTTGGGCAACTGTAGTTTGAGCTTTTTGTTGTGAGGAGTGTAGTTTTCAATTGGATTTTTCATCCGTTTGGAGGGAGTTCACGGCCAGGGAACACCCACCATCGTGTTCAGCGACCTCGAATTATGTAGAATAGTGCTTTCTTCTCGAGCTGGGGAATCGCTCTTGATCGCGCTTTCAAGACGTTCACCTCCTGGTCGCCCGAAATGAATGAATTTCTGGACCCAATATGTTCAAGCGCTAGGAGTGTTTCAGATGATTTGTTGGCCCTAGTGAAAGATTGCACCTGACGGAGACTTTCGCTATTGCGACAAAGTGAGCTATGTTTTTGTATTCGACTCGTCGCCTTGAAACCAGAAAGAAATTGCTATGGAGTGGTGCTCTGACATGGATCGCGTCAGTGATTGGATTGTACGCGTATTTCACTATTGTGCATTTTACATGTAAAATGTACATGTACATGATTGATCAACTGTGTGACTGCCGCAGTAAATTAAAGTTGGGCATCTGAAGACTAAACTGCTGTATTTATTATTTGTACATGTATAATACAACCATAGCAATCAATGCTCACTTCAATTTCATAGTAATGGAACTCATGTTCAATGGATTTAGCATTGTTGCTATGGTGGTTGCTACGGGCGCCGCGCTCGTTCTCATTGGTCATCGCTTGCCGAAATATTATATTTTGGTCAACATTAGGACTAACTAACCTGTATTGCACCCATAATTATTGCACCTATATTGCACCTACAAGCCAGATTTCATAGCATTCTGACAATATTGTAATGTTGCTAAGCGCTTGCTAGGCTTTCCGGAAAACCCTGTTGGTGCCACATCAGTATGGCATTCCGCATACATCATGATGAAGGTTGGCGTATGACTTTGACGCCTCATATCTCTGGTATCCTTCAAGATTTTTCATCCAAATTATCTGTGCTATCTCCTGTACTGTAGTTCTTCCCGAAAACAAACAGTATTCTTGGTTTACTACGAAAGAAAGAAATACGGTGATATCCCTACTCTTACATTCGCTGCATGTTCGGGAGCCCCATTGCAGCATATTGCCGCCGGCTGTGCTGACACGGGCAGAGGCGTGACTTCGCCTTTGCATGCCGCTAGGCAATCTTATTAGATAACGATTTATTGTGCAGCTTCTGTGTTCAATCTACATTTCAAATGAGTGTTCTATTTATTTCCGAATTTGGGTTGTCTTTTTGCCTTGACTCTTACTTCATGGTTTAACGCGATTAGCCCAATTGGTGTTGTGAATAAACCCGTTCTCAAGCAGCAGCTGTGTTGGTGGTGACAGCAGCAGAGCCGGCGACGCTGGTGGCTTAGGAGAGTAGGAGAGTGGGAGACTAGGAGAGTGGGAGACTAGGAGAGGTGCTGGCGGTGACAGCAGCACTAGCGGCAATGCTGGTGGTGACAGCAGCAGTAGGGCGGTGCTGGTGGCGACACCCGCAGCAGCAGCGGTGATTTGGTGGTGACAGCAGCAACAGTAGCGGCGGCGCTGATACCAACAGCTAGCTTGACCTTGATATTTATCCAGTGATAAATTTAGCAGCATTCATGTCCAGGTAACTAGTTGTGTATTTGTACAGCTATGTTTCAACCTCACCTTTCTTCCAAGTCCATGTCTGAATAAATCCGTGAACCCGCTAGAAACCTATCCTCTTCAACAGATGTAGCATTTGAAGGTAGAAATAGCGAACTGCGGCATCCCTTCATGACTACGTTATTTATGGACTATGCGCCACGCTTCAATAACCGGCTGGCCTGTTCTGATCACTATGTTCTGGTCACTTAGAGGCAAAGAGTAAGATTGTGCAAATAAATTCTAGCTTGCTTCGCCACAAATAAATTTTAACTTGCTTCGCCGAGGAAACGCTTGCAGTGTAGATACTCAGGATGACATAGTCTGGTCGAAGGCAGGAAACAGCACGACGACAAGCCTCTGGCTCTACTCCTAGTCCTACCGCCATACTACTGATACTACTACTACTACTAGTAGAAGTCTGCGCCAGTAGATTCTACGAGCGATTTTCTGCATCCGCACTCATGCCATGGCCTAGTGATAGTATTAGTAGTGTGACTGTCTGTGTAGTCAGTCCGTTGATCTACGTGAGTCAAGCACGGCGCTCAGCTCCGCCAATCCATGCTCTTTGAGTCTTTACTTCTTGACTTTAGTTTTTACTTCTCAGCTTTGCTGCTAGCTCGGCGTAGCCATGGTAGCTGTGCTCGCTGTGCAGGTCTGTGTGAGTCACTGTGACTGTCCGCAGAGCTAGAGCTGTAGTGTCTACCAGGTCTACGTAGTGGGCATGATTACAGTATGGGTTAGTGCGCAGATCTACGCTTCCGCATGTCCCGCTCAGTGCAGCTGCGAGCTCACCAGGTCACCACCGCGACCTGGTGAGTCACTGACTGATGTCGGTACGGTAGTGGCCGAAGCATGCATCTACTCTCACACACGCACTCTCCGCTAGCGCTACGCCTATGCATCGCATGTGCTTGGGCAAGTATTAGTTGGGGAGCTTGGTTTTTTCAGGCTTCGATTGAGTCACACTGCAGTGTCTGTAACACGGTAACCAGTACTTTGAGTTTTGACTTCCGCTCCTGGAAGCGAAGGCCAGATCCCCCCAGCCAGGGCCAGACCCAGGCTGGACCCAGGCTAGAGATTCATGACCACACGCACAGACTCAGTGATAGTCATGTACTGATGTAGTCATGTTGTACAGTTGTAGTTGTACCATGGCATGTATACTGGGCTAGGCAGTCTCCAGTCTGGCCATGGCCCAACATGACAATCATGTCGACAGTCAAGTCAGCAGCGACTCCCTGGCGGAGCGACTCGCAATATTCCCACTTCGAAGCGAGCGTGCAAATAACCTATATTTGCACGCTCGCTTCGAAGTGAGCGTGCAAATAGGTTATTTGCACGCTCACTCGCCGGGGTGCAATATAGCACTGCAGTGCATCCACATAATCATTGGCTGGCGGTGTACTGGGGAATATTGCACGCTCAGTAAGGCCGCTGATTGGCTCAAACCATGGAGACACTCACGTGGGGTGCGATAACAGAATGTACTGGATGGTGGCAGTGTTGCCTACCGCCCGCATTTGTATTTTTACGGAAATACGAAGTTTTGTCCGCAGTATGGATTGCGCAAACTATCGTGTATGATAGATTACTAAAACCTTTGTGTTGGGTTCAGTCAGACAAGACAACATTGGTGCTAGTTTCAGTTCTTGTCCAAAACAAACTCAAATCAAATATCCGAATCCAAAAACCTAAACAGTGTACGAAAACAGCGATCACATGAAAGATCCGCTCACAAAACATGCCTAAAACACAGAATAATAAAAAAGAGACCCATGACGCATAATGTACACAGCACATACATGTACATGTACATGACGTTACATTGTATAAGTAGGTGGGAATCACACTCCTGTGATCACAACACTTTGTAACTCCATCGTTTCTTGTGAAAATTCAACACTCGAAGGGTATACGTGGTAGCGAAACCTCCAAGCTATCCAATGCAACAATCGCCGAAGAGTGACGATGTTGGATTCCAGAGATATCGAGCGCCGTGTTTCGATATTCGTACCTCGGCAAATCCTAATTTTTGATCGATCTCTTCGTCATGTTTGGAGAAAATGCCTTTTTGCATGCTCTTGGAGCGACTGAGCACATCATAATGACGTAACCGGTTGAAGTCTGAATCGCGTCGAAAACATTTCAGCGTTCTGTGATGAAGGAGAGTGGAATGGTGTTGATGGGACAAATATGCTTGCATATTATGCTTGAAGATGACTTTGCTGTGTTACGGCGCCTGATTTGTGGCAGCTTCATAATGGAGCTTGGTATCCTGGCGTTGCTCCTGCCAAGAGCTTTCCAACGAGCCCTAGATTGTGAAAATCAAGCGAAGTAGACCACGGTTATGCGGACCTGGTGAGGTTGAAAATTGTACTGTATTCAGGTTGAAAAATTTACTGAATTCGTAAGGTTGAACATTGTACTGAATTCAGGTTGAAAACTGTACTGAATTCGTAAGGTTCACAAGTGAACTCTGTGACTGGAAAAGAAGTTGTACAGTATCTCGTTTGATTCTCCAAATTACACTCCAAATCAGTCAAAATGTTTACCCAAAAAACGAGTACGCAAAACTGAAAAATGGCACTGGCAATACGCTTGGGGGTAGAGCGCACTTGGTAACACTGTGGTGGGTATCGTGGGCATTGGAATGTATTGTGGGCATCTGAATGAATTATTTGTGGGAGGCATCTGAATGTATGGTGGGCATCTGAATATATGGTGAGCAACTGAATGTGTGGTGGGCATCTGAATGTCTGGTGGGCATCTGAATGTGTGGTGGGCATCTGACTGTATGGTGGACATCTGAATGTGTGGTGGGCATCTGAATGTATTGTGGGCATCTGAATGTGAGGTGGGCATTGGAATGTATTGTGGGCATCTGAATGTACATGTATGGTGGCCATCTGAATGTGTGGTAGGCATCTGAATGTGTGGTGGGTATCTGAATGTATGATGGGTATCTGAATTTGTGGTAGGCATCTGAATGTGTGTTGGGCATCTGAATGTGTGCTGGGCATCTGAATGTGTGCTGGGCATCTGAATGTGTGCTGGGCATCTGAAGGTGTGGTGGGCATCTGAAGGTGTGGCGGGCATCTGAATGTGTGGTGGGTATCTGATTGTATGGTGGGTATCTGAATGTATTGTGGGCATCTGAATGTGTGGCGGGCGTCTGAATCGATGGTGGGCATCTGAATTTGTGGCGGGCATCTGACCGTATGGTGGGCATCATAATATGTGGTGGGTATCTGAATGTGTGGTGGGCATCTGAATGTATGGTGGATATGTGAATGTATGGTGGATATGTGAATGTATGGTGGATATGTGAATGTATGGTGGGCACCTGAATGTACATGTACATGACATGGTGGGTGTTTGCGCCGGTATTCTCACTCACAACCAGGGAGTAGTAAAATACAGGGAGGTGACACGCCACTAATCGTGATTTTTGATGGGTGCCTCGCGCTTGTTTTTTTTCTTTCGCAAAAAAAGATGATCTGCTGAATCAATCTTGAGTATTTGTCGAAGAACTGATCCGTGAAAAGGTCTATCCATCTCATGGAACAGCATTTGTTTTGCTCTTGTGATACATCTGTGTCATCGTCATATGGAAAGGTACCACCCTTCCGAAATTCGTCCCGATCGAGGGCATGGAGCAATAGAACGAAGGTGATTTCCTTGAGAACAATACGTGTACGATTGGAGATGAAAAACGAGTGCACCGATTTCGAAGTCGAAAAAATCTCTAGGACACCACACGATCGGCACTAATTTCTCCTCAGTTGTGATCAACCAGTACTTCTCTACCTTCTTTGTGATGATGAGCATTTCATATTATGGTATGCTAGAGATTCGGGAGTTCACTTTTCGGAATGAAATGTTCCTAAGTTTGTCAAGGATTGAAATGCGGGCTACGTCGTCGTAAACAGCTTGTATCGACACAGGAAAAATCTACGGCACGCAGGGATATCTCCCAAAGTGATACCACTCTTGCTGGACTTCTATCCTGACATAGTGGTAGTTTGGTCGACTACCAAACTTTGTGAAGGCAGACAATTGTTGGAAATTCTCAGCGCTGAGTTTCTACGGGCTGCAGTAGGAGCCTCTTTGGCGGTAGGTATTTTACTACTCCCTGATCGAGAGAATCCTGATTCGCGCGCGTGTCTACACACTTCGGTACCCATAGTACCCCAATCTCACCCGCCGGGTGAAAACGGTGCTGAGGCAATCGTCAAACTGGCCGTACATGCTCGAGTCACCTCCCTGTATTTTACTACTCCCTGCTCACAACACAGAGTCTGAGGTTTATAGAATATTTTCACTAGGAGAAGACTGTATCCATTGCAAACTGATTGCAATACTTCAAAATGGCTAGCTACTACCTGGTAGTAACAGAATCAGCCAAAGAGAAAGAAAACCACAACCACCACTCGGATTGTGCCAAGCAGGTAACAACAAAGAGCAAACTAAACTCAGAACCAAAACCAAAACAACAACTGCACCAGCAAGCTCTTTCCTGGTACTAACTACAAATACATCAAAATCAAGCAGCAAAATGCAAATCCGCACGCGTGTTTGCCGGAACTGAACCTCCGTAGCGCAGCTGATCATTGCGGCTGCACGGGACGACCTTCCCGCCACAGTAGGGCAAAGAACTATGCATGGAACTAGCAATGAATGCATGCAGCACACCAGCAAGCTGTCCCTACGCAGACGTCTAGTCTAGCGTGAGCAAGGATGAATAATTGAATAGCATGAGAAACATGATATGACACATTGACTCCTATGATGCATGCAATGTATACAACAAGAAGCTACAGGTCATGCAACTGTGCACAACACTTCAAACCAGCGGGTGTAGTATGAAAGGCAATGCAGCAGTTATGAATAGGGACATCAACAGGACACAACACACAGTAGTCATGAGCAGGCTGAGGTAACCATGGTAACTGAGGACCGGGGAACAGTACAGACATGTGCACAACAGCACCTAGGTTTACTACTACCCAAGGTTATGTACTCCTACTACTTTAGTTATTCATGTCTTGGTCTAACTGAGCAAGTTACTAGTGGAGATCTGCGGGGTGACTTTGTCGTACCAACAGTGGGTATGTGAATGTGTGGTGGGTATATGAATGTGTGGTGGGCATCTGAATGTATGGTGGGTATTTGAATGTCTGGTGTGCATCTGAATGTTTGGTGGGTATCTGAATGTACATGTATGGTGAGGATCTGAATGTGTGTTGGGCATCTGAATGTGTGTTGGGCATCTGAATGTGTGTTGGGCATCTGAATGTGTGTTGGGCATCTGAATGTGTGTTGGGCATCTGAAGGTGTGGTGGTCATCTGAATGTGTGGCAGGCATCTGAATGTGTGGTGGGTATCTGATTGTATGGTGGGTATCTGACTGTATTGTGGGCATCTGAATGTATGGTGGGCATCTGACTGTGTGGTGGGCATCTGACTGTATGGTGGACATCTGAATGTGTGGTGGGTACATGTATGTGAATGTGTGGTGGGTAT